CCAAACAACAGAAGCAGCAGCAATGACAGCAGCAGAAACGGCAACTGCAACAGCAACAGCTAGAGCAGTGCCAGTGACAATACTAACAAACATGAACCATAGCGGCGACAATCTTAACATCAAAGACGAAATAACTGCTTTGTAAGAGAATCAATCAAGAAACCTCACTTTATGGCTCCAAAAAGCGTAGCATTAGCATGCACAAGATTATTAAAATAGTTAATTCGACCATCAAACAACGGGTCATTATTTCACTACCTTGTAGCTTAGCACACACAGATTTGCTCTTGCTTCTCAGGTTTTCTGGGTCAAAGTTCAGGCTAATGAAGAAGTCCAATGGATTGCTTTCCGACCTTTCACCGACTTCACTAGACAGGCACTGAACGATGGCTTCATAGTTTCTGAAGGAGAGAAAAGAGTCATTCTGTTGTTGTTGTTGTTGTTGTTGTTGTTGTTGTTACTGTTGTTGCAGTTGTAGTTGTTGTTGTTGCTGCTGTATTAGAAAATGATATGACAAATGAGTGCCATACTTGTCACAATTTAAGTGTTACTACGACTTTGTAACTGTTGTGCTAAGTAAGGCAATGACTAACTTTTTAACCCTATCCGTACGCCCAGGGGTCATTTTGTACTCACAGGGTAGTATTTTTCACATTTTAGAATACTTCTAGTACAAAGATCTCTTTAAAACTTTCTGTATTTCTCAAAAAACATTTTCACAGACTGCTATGCAAAGGGTACGGATTGATTAACGAGTAAATTTCCCCTTTGGAAAGTGGTGGCACGGAGTTCCCCACGCCGTATGGATACGATAGTAAAGCACGACGTACGGATAGGGTAAAGAAAGGCGATTTACACCTCATTAACACAATTTAAATTATTTAGTAGGCGGGCTTCTTTCGACTTTGATTGTAAGGGTCAACCCCGACTGAGAGAGATACAACATTCTAGCAGAAAGGTGGAGATACTCAATAAATATTTTCCCCTCACAGTAATCGACCTCACTTCATTTGTGTGCAACGGTGAAGCACCTAACCCCTGCACCACTGACACTAGCGATGACAAGCTTTAGTTGACTCAAAAAGTAAAACAAGAAAGACAGCGAGTAAGAAAGAAAGACAGCGAGTAAGAAAGAAAGAAAGAAAGAAAGAAAGAAAGAAAGAAAGAAAGAAAGAAAGAAGGAAAGAAAGAAAGAAAGAAAGAAAGCGTGTTGTTTTCCAAATAATAAACCGGAGTGAAATTGGTTTTTTTAAACAATATTTTTTTTAAAACCCATCAATTGATACAGTCATTACGTTAAGTTTTTGGCTATCATTACTTTAAAAATATTATTTTAAAATGTAAATAGCTACTTATAGAACTAAATTGTATACTATATCTTTTAGATACCGTACTTCAGTCATTTCGAAGGTAATTTCTTGTGATGCTGAACAACCCAGCTTTCGTGAATTTGGTAGATTTTGAACCCGCCTACCTAAGTGAGGGAGCGAGAAGAGAAAGAGAGATAGTGAAAGAGAACGATATTAAAGAGAGAGGGAAAGAGAGAAAGGGGGGGGGAGAAGATAGAGAGAGAGAGAGAGAGAGAGAGAGAGAGAGAGAGAGAGAGA